AAAATATCACGTGCGTAGCACGTGCATCATCCAAGTCACATGAAAAACCACACATATAAAAATACCTATCTATATTTTGAGCATATTAATACTCCTTAATTATATATCTATTCAAGTCTTAAAATATGATATATTTCAATTTGATAAAACAAATATAAAAAAAAAAAATTAAATTACTCTGCTTCATAATTAGGCTGCTGAATTCTAGGTATAGTAACATGCATTCTTTATTTTCAGGATGTCGGTGAAGTTACCTATGTTGATGAAGATGATGTTTGCTTTTATATCTTGTGTGCTTATGATTATCGCAATCCGATTGGAGGTGATGATCCAGAAGAAATCCAAGCAAATCATGTCATCCTTATTGAATGTGCTTATCACCTTGATCCCCTGCCTAATGATTCTACCGATGGTGGCCGCAATGTGTAAGAATTGGACGCATTTGCCAAATTTTTTTGTGCGTTTGACATAGATTCGTGGATGTTAGCGGTTGTGTTGGTAAGTGTAGATGTGATAAGTTGGATGGAGGCAACCTTTGTCATTATTTGCCACGATAGCCTACTATTCATGATAAATGCCTCTTTCGAGTTTTTTATCAGCAAGTATGAGCTACACATTTTTTTCGAGTTGACAGCAATCAAAATGGAAGTGGTCAAGAATCATATCAAGAATCAATTGGGTATTGCATTGGAAGTTACATGTATTGTCTTGATTGTGTTGCAACAGGTTTACCTTCAGTTCTCGCACAGAAAGGTGGTTGACTGGTTGGTAGTGAGACTTATTGATGTCGAGCGTTAGCACATGATCGGCTCCGGACTTTTGTGTGATTGTTATATTATTTATTTTTAGTATTTATGTGTGTATTTATTTATTTTGTATATTGGGCTTGTTTAATATTGGTATTTATCTATGTATTAGGATTGGATATATAATTAACCGTAGGAACTTATGGGAAGACAGTCATGATATTCATATTATTCGAATTAAAGTTGTGTTCTCTGTTATTCTCTGTACAAACTTCACCCATCGCAGATCTGCTACATCACTTATTGAGGAGTAAGGTTAGGTACTAGGTATAACTTCTATAAAACATTGTTATGATATATGGTTTTTGTTGACTTCTGAGAACATGTTTATGATGAACCTTAAGTTGCTTTTTGTTGACTTCTTAAAACACGAATATTCTGTTTTGTCTAGCTCTCATCATTAATGAGTTAATTGGAATGAGATTGATTTATAAACTTCAGTTTGGCAAGTATTAGTTAACTCAACTTCTGATTTGCCAATTATTGATTAATTCCTCAAACTTCGGATTTTTGATTTAAAACTTACAAGATTCGGAAGAGCGCTTCTTTTATTCGTTTCACAAAAGTTGATGAGGAATAATAAGACAATAATTTGAGCACAAAATGCTCAAACAAATTATTCAGACGTAGTTTGTTAGCTTCCAATCGACAATAAATAACAAATAATATTATAAATTATAGTTATAACAATTTTGAGTTATTTTTTAAAGAGTATGGTGCAAAAGGATGACATTAGAAAACTATATTATGATGACAATAATAGTGATCATTATTTTAAGCACATTGAAGATATCATTAAATAACAAAATCAAAGACGATATAAATTTCTTTAGCATTTACATTTTCACTGAACAAATATTAACTTTGTTTTGGGTTTTCAACCCAATGTTTTTTTTATTTAATTTTATTTATCCTAGAGTTTAGCTAATAGTATTAAATACTATATTTTATTATTCAATAAAATACACCATTTTTTGTTAAACTAATTGAAATAAATATATATTAAACTATTAAATATAAACATAATACTAAAAATAATTTGAAAAAAAATACTAATTAAAAAACAATAATATTTTTTTATATCAATCATTATCTGTTGCACACACCTTGTTCCTGCTTCCGAGAGTTTTTCAATGTGTTCTCTCGTCTCCGAGAGTTCTTTCTTCAGGTAGTCGTTCTCAGATTTTTCCCGAGTCAGAAATTGTCTGCAGTTTGCTTTCAAGCTGCTTAATTTGTTCCTCCAGCTGCTCCCGTGTGGGCTCGGGGTCGCTCTGCATGACCCCACCCTGCAAGGACATATTTTAAGAACACTGAATTTGCATATAATTTTTATTTATGATTGAAAATAAGATATGTTGTATGTGCAAACAAACTGATGGGTATGATAAGCTAACTTTTTTTTTTTTCTGCCAAAAGCAATAAGCCTTTTTTTTCTTTTTTTGTAAACCGTTCACAAATGACACGTGAATCGATGCAGGGATTTGTTGGTCCCGATGACATGGGCAGTTGATGTGAAAGCGGGAAGTGGTTATTCAAGTAGTGAGCTGGCCACCCAACTAGCAGCTATTGATTTGAGGGATGAGCCAGCTGGATCATTCACTACAAGATGGTATATTAGTCATAGTTTCTTCAAATACACAAATCCAACTGAGTCTCTCACATTCTATTCTCTACAAGTTTGAGCATGACATCAGGTAAATCAAGCATCAGCTAAAGGTCATCAGCAACCTCAACATCACCACCACAATCATTATCTTCATACCACTCTCTCTCTCCTCCTCCTATGGTTCCTCACATCCAACACCTTCTCACCTACCCAATCCCCATCGCGGCCCCATAGAGCCCATCTCCCGATCCCAAATGTTCTATCTTAACGTAAATATCAACAATAAATTGTTGGAATAGTCTACCAAAATTCGAAAGATAAGATTCATCGTTCAACCGAGTAACCTGTACGAATAATTGTAAGTTTTGCTTTGTCTTCAGAATATCTACCACCCCTGAAATGAATAAACCAGTATAAGCTTTGCTCCATTCATCAGAAAGATGGATAATAACCAGAAAAAGAATTGAGTTTTGTTTCTAATTTTCTGTCCTCTTTGGTATGACAGAGACTCGAGCAAACAAAAGTAATAAGTCACGATTTGGGAAAATGAGAACCTGGATAAATCAGATTAACAGCAAAAACCAAGACACAATCAAAAAACGGTGCTCACAAGTATTCCTCTCATCGTGTGAGTATGATCCCGATTTCGACGCTAATTGGTGGTTCCTTGAGCTGAGGCGTTTGCTCAAGGCACTAAGTGGGTCTCAGATTTCTCTGTATCTTAAGGTGGACAGCGGCCCTCGGGACGTGCCTTGTAGTGCTGTTCTCGGTGACGAGCCGCCTGTGGTAGTGTGGAGCTTGAATTTTGATACTTGTAAATGTCGCATGGCGTCTTGGTACTTGGAGTTTACGAATGGCTTGTTTCGTGTTTGTCGGCCGAGTAGCATATGCGGTTGTAGGCTCTCGGAGTTTTAGTTAAACATCTTGCTTGCAAACAAGAACGTTGATTTGGAGAAAGTTCACGTCGATAGGCAGCTCGTGCAGTGGACAGACTTGTCGGAATTGCGAAACAGGACATATGACATGGAAATATGGCTTCAGTTGAAATGGAGAGGTCAGACAACGGCATAAGTACTAGCGCTCTCTTGCTTTTCTATTTACTATATATCTCTTGCTTTTCTATTTACTATTTATCTCTTATAAATGGGTTTAAATTCTTCAATTGTTATGTGATCATTTGCAACTAATGAGTTTCTCATTCTGTCATGGTTTTTACCAAAAAAAAATAGTCCTAAAGTCAGTACCTTGCGTAGCAAATTAATCTGTGAGTGGAATAATAGGCGTTTTGATCAAGTACACAACAAAAATAACCATGGTGAAAATTTTATTAACACAAAATCAAGTATAATTACAATAAATCAAATTCCTAATTATTCCTTCACACTGAACAACTATAAATTGTATCTTGCAATGTCGTGCCTCGCAATAGTGTGTTGTAGGCCTATTTCACTAGTTCCCTGAAATTGCCGGATGGCGTTGCTATTTACACATCCCTATGGCCTCTAAGCGAGGTGAGGAGCTCGAGCACATGAGTCAAGTCGAGCTCAACTCGGTTATCAATATTAACGAGTCGGCTCGAGCCATAATTAGTCAAACTATAAAACATTATTTAAAAATTTTATTTTTGCGCTTTAACGAGCCAAGTCGCCTCGTTAATAAACGAGTTTCCAATGAGCTCGATCTCGACAAAAGGTTCATTTCTTTTAACTGTTGTAGTCTTGCCCAACCCAATCTCAAATCCCGGCCTAAACTATTTTAATTATAGGTAGAAAAACACAAGGGGGGTTTTTAGTTTATCCCTGCCCATTTTTCATTGAATGTTTATATTTGTGTTGATAAATTTTACATTTATCTGTTCTAGAAAGACCTATTATACTAATTTTTTTTTTTTTTAAAATGACATTTTGAATTCAAAAACCTATTTCAAGTAGTTATTTACCACATTAAATTGGAGATTTCATATGTCAAACTTCTAATCCATCTCAAACATGCAATTTAGTCTCGAACCGTTGTCTTACCATAAAAGACAAATATTTTCTCAAGAACTTCCATACTCCCATACATAAATCATTCTTCATTTTTATGAATCTATATTCGAACTCTAATTATAAATTATCAATTATATTTTTATAATAAGTTACATATGTATATTGGGAGGTCACAAAAGATATACATCGCTCAAAGCCAAATACTATATAGATGGTGATTTTCTCGAGTTTAGTGGTCGACCGAGTTCTTCTTACCTTTGGAAAAGTCTTCTTTGGGGGCGTAAAGTCGTTAAAGCAGGTCTACGGTGGAGGATTGGTAATGGCTCCTTAGTAAATCTAAGAATATAAAAAAAAAAACAACAATAATATCACGTGCGTAACACGTGCATGGTGCATCTTCCTAGTTAATTAAAAATATAAGATGTGATGGGTATTAGTGGATTGCTATTTTTTCATTAAAAATATATCAAAATAAGAATTTATTATGTAGAATAGTTATTATTTAAAAATATAAGATAGTATGGATATTAATGTATCACTAATTTACCATTAAAAATATGTCAAAGTAAGGATTTTTAAATAGTTCATTTTTTTACAAAACCATTCATCGTTTATAATAGAATAGACTTTAAAAAAGACGTGACAATACAGTAGGAACTTTCAAAATAGATTAGAATATGCAGTGAATTACCAAAGACGTCCGATATAAAACAATAGACATCGTTTGCCCTCCTAATTAAAGCTCATATACAGAAGCTAGGCACAATTCACATCAAACCTAATAATACACACACAGCTATCTATACGTGCATTCCATTTCTCTTCAAATGTCGTGCTCCAAAACTACATGACTAGTCAATTTATATATCTTCACTCCTTTTGTCCCATAATATACCCTTCATGTTTCAAGAACCAAAGCGCCCCTTTTGCTGCATGCTCAGCCGCGTCCTTCTTCCTCATTCGAGGCTCTCCATAGAACTCGAATAAATGGTTTGGTATTTCTTCTATTTCCAACATGATCTTGAAAACAAATCTGCAAAAACCAGAAACATTTTCGTATTGTGTAACCGTCTGGAATCATGAGGTTGAAAAAAGACTACTCCAAAGCTAAAATCTTTATAAGGCATGTGTCAATGCTACACTGCAGTATTTACAAATCTATTAATATACCAAACACCTAAAACAAACTAACAAAGTGCAGAAGTGTACCTCATTATATTAAAACTATGAACAAAAACCGGATGAAAAGCTGAAGTTGATTTGTCGACCATGTACAAGAAAAAATCCCTTGAAACACGTGAAGATCAAATTACTGGTACAAAAATGGCCACTCACTTATATATGGACTTTCAAATACAACGCAAAGGAGGGGAGAAAAAGAAATGCTCTCAAGTAAACTCAAATAAAAAAATAAATGTTTATTTTTCTTTTTCCTTTAGAAAATTATCTTTTAACTGAAAGTATTGATAATGGAAGTCCAGATATTGTAGGCTGGTAAACTTACTCTTTCAAGTGGCTCGGTCCACTCTCCTCACAGCATTCAAAAGTGGGTGGTTTCCAACAGTTAGCAGCACATATTTCATATAAACGCGATTTTGCCGATATAGAGCCAGGATAACCTAACATATAATCGATTACATGAGAGCACAAAAACTAGAAAAGAGTAAAAGGAGAAAAAATAAAATAAAATAAATGAAAGCTCTTAAATAAAGTCTCTCAGGTTGCTACCTGTTGCTCCATTTGGAATATGATTACCGTCATTATTTGGGTGGACGGCAGGTGAATTAATTTTGCAATCCTTAATTCGAAGGGGCTGTTTAGCACGAAATCCTGAAGACTCGGGTAGAAAAGGACACTCCATTTTTTGAGTGGAAACTATTCGAGATTTACTTGCAGTGTGTATCTCATTAAGAGGATACACTTTTGCGTCACAATCGTTTCGAGATTTTCCCAGCACTTTCAGCGCACCAGAATGAGCAGTTTCTTTGGATGATGTCTCATCATATCCAATTAATCTGGCTCTCCTCTTTTCACTCTTTTTAAGCACTTCCTCCAATGATGGTGATTTGGATTTGTAACCTTGTGCCTACATAATCAGAGTCAATGGAAAAGAGAGTCGAGGTTAAATGAGCCATGCAAATGGAAATGCTCACTTGTACAGCTCAGACAGAATAACAATTAGGTTACCTTGAAGTTAGAAATAGTATTGAGGATTTTGCAATCTAAGATCAATATATATCTAGTTACATCTCATGGCTTTAGGATACGTCATCCTAAGTGGAGTATCAGTCCAATTTTACCTCTTATTTGGGTATTCAGACATAGGTACGTGAAATACTCAGCCTTAGCATAACAAAAGCTTCTTTATGAAGCAAATTCCATTATAAAAGTGGGGCAGACTAAAAGAATAGTGATGACTAACTAATATGCACATTATAGTAAACCATAGAGCTCACCTTCAAAGTTTCACACAGATGCCTTGCCACCATTCTTTTCGCAACTTTGCTGCTGTAGTTGGTAGCTGAAGCCACTGCAGAAACATTTTCCTCATCAACTTTACCTTCAACTTTGAACTTGCCATCTCTCTTTAATGCAGAAAGCTTGACCTCCCAATTATAGGATTGGCAAAGTTCGCGAAGTTCCCTAAGCGGATTAAAATGCAGCTTCGAAAAACTAATGATAGGATCCATAAGGGAGAGCATTATTTTCCAAACAAGCTTCAAATCAAATCCAGAGTCAAGATACATGGCGCCCATACAAGACTCCACTATGTCACCTAGTGCCTGAAGCATTAACAATGGATTATAAAATCAGCTTCTGTTGATTCTATTAGTAAAAAGATGTGTACCAATATTTTCATAAACAATTGGCAAATATCACTTTAATGATGAAAGGTAACAAGACATGTAACTATTAGAATGAATTTCGATTATATTTTTGTGTGATCATACTGATGATAGCTTTGGGTTTTCCTTCTTTTTTTGTTTTTGGGATTTCCACATCAGTCCACTAAGGACTTCATTCAATAGTAGAATACTAGGCCTGCAAAAGCTAAGGACTTCATTCAACCATTTTATATTCTTCAACATATAACAAACACGCAAAAGAGGTAAATCAGACACAAATGTTAAGTAGACTATCAATGCAAAACTTAGCAACTTGGCAAAATCATTAAATAGGAAAATATTGAAAAAAACTCCCTTTCAAGCAAAAGATGTCATAAGAATAAAGAATATGCTGTAGGAAAGAGCATCAAATAACCTTTGGACAAATTATCTCATCAATGCTTTTCGGTGTTTCTGAGTTTCCAAGGCTGCTCACATATGTAGTCATTGTTTCCCGGAGAACATCAGAATCGCAAATAATAAACTTGTGAAAGGACCTTCGTCCAGCCACATCAGCAAATGAAATGTTGTTAACGGCTACTGATCTCAAATCCGTCAAATGGCCAGGTCTTAACTTTGGGTACACCGAAAACATATAGGACGTGATCAAGTAATCTAACACAGCATCTCCGAGAAATTCAAGTCTCTGGTTCAAACAAATCAATATATGTATATAACATCAGAGACGGGAGATTTTAACAATTATATTATTCAGAGTGGAGAGTACATATGCACACACCTGGTAACATCCTCCCATATGATTGTTGAAAGATGGATGAACAAAGGCCTGAATGAGCAATCCTTTATGGGAAAACTTGTAACCCAGCAGAGTCTCAAGGGCATTAACATTAATCTGATCAGAAAGCGGCAAAAATGTGTCGCTGGCAGAGCAGATATACTGAATTTGTGAACTAGTAATATCTACTTTTATGCTGATCCAATTAAGAAATGCAATTGCTGCTCTGAAGCCGCTATCAACTATAAAAGCTCCAATAAGTGCCTCAACAACATCTGCAATGGTCTTTTTGAATAACCAGTGATGACATTTGTTGCATCTAATTTCAGCATTTGCTCCATTTCTCTTGTTATCATGTCGAGAATGAATGCTTTCCTCATTCTCGTTATTGCAACTAAAAGGACAACGGCGGCCAAAAGCAAAGAATTGATCGGCCTCAAATGACTGATCGCGAATATATACCTGAATTATATTATATAAACTTTTTTGCCTGATATAGTTTCAGCATAAGAGCAATCAAGAATATAGCAGGCTAAAGTCTAGTGTTTTCTACATATCCGAATTTCAAAAGCCTGCCCTGACTATATTTCATAACATTTAAAATCCGAAACTCTTTTGACAAACCAAGTTAATGAAATGACAGCATAAAAATCATGAGATGGGGGTCCGCCACTACTGAAACAGAATGGGTCTGGGCGAGTCTGTTCTGTTCATCTCCTGGTGTAAAGACAAAACATCTCCTGATCTACGACTTGGAGAAAACGTACTTCTTTTGGATTGGAATTTGAGGAGGTGATCTGATTTGCCAAATTGTTGTGTCAGCACTGTCCCCCCCCACCCGCCGTAACTTTGTACATACTTATGTTATCGAATGGTTGAGAATTATTACCAGTATCAACAAAAGCAACATATTTGAATCATTTCAAAAAGCTTCCACCGTAGTGACCATAATCATCACATTTTTCTTGTCTTTAGCTTTCATAGCGTATGGTCTGTGGTTTGTTCAAGTTGTCAGGCTTTCACACATTTACATGAAATTGACTGTACACATTATTTCTACCAGCCATTGTCCTTGACGGTATCCTTAATCAGAATACTACAGCAGAGGTGTGTTACAGGTTTACCCATATAACGTCCCAGTATAGGCTCACAACCATGTATAGGAATCTAAATAAACCTAATCATTAGCTTTGTACACACTCTAGGATAATAGAGGTGAACTCACATGGTACATATTAGAAAGATATGTCAAAACACTCCCAAAGTCCGAAGTATAATCCTCCTGCTATTTTGCCGGACATTTATGAATGATTCATTTCCTAAACAACTACTCTTATCTTGACTCTTTCCTAAACGAACTTCTCATTTACAATAATGACATGACACAACTATTTCATCAGGCGCACAACTGCGTGGCTGTCCAAATTTTCATATTTCATCTTTCACCGTTCAACTTAAACTCCATTTTGAACTCAAAAGGAAATATTTAATTTCGACACGGGGATGTAAAGTAATTTCACAAAGAATCAAGGTAATTATATACTAGTTACATCCTCCTCAAAGAGAGATTAAGTAATGAGTAATGACATCAATTAAGTATAAAAGGTTTTAAAAACCTCAAAAAATTAGGAAACATAGGTTAAAATCAATCACCTGTAAATTGCTCTTTGTCGCCAATTTGACCAAATTTGAATTGTTGACAATGTTGGAACGCTTTTTAGTTAACTGCCCCTCATCTAAAGCATCATGCTTAAGGAAAAGATGCCTACCAACTGCAAACTTGAGAAATGCATCTCCAAGCACTTCAAGCCTTTCAAGCGAAAAGTGTTCGCCGCATCTTTCTGTGGTAAGTGCTTCAAGAATCTAACCAAATTTAAAAATGGATGATTATCACACTACAAGGTCTAATGGAGGACGATAAAAGAAGAACCATTCCCCTTAACAAGGAGGGACTGGAAGTGGAAACACTAGAAGTGAAAGGAAAAAAACTTACACGGTCAGCAGTAACTTCAGCTCCCTCAGAGAATGAAGCAACAAATTTGTCCTTCAGTTCGATGGCCACGAGAAAGCTTTCAAGCCTATGCATGATTGATGGTAACAGAGATAATGAACTTCCAATATCTTTCGAGAAGCCAATGACTTTCAACTGGCAAATCTCAGGAGGCAATTCAATGAAGTGTTCCTCTTTTTCTCGCCATTCTTCTGAATAATCAGCAAGTAGATCATCCAAAATGTTCAATAAGTAGATGATACAGGGAAAAATCTTTCAAGTGTTACTCAAGAATGCAAATACTATATACATGCAGTGAAGACAGTTAAAAATGCCATGAAACAGGAAAAAAGTGGGTTCCTAAGAAATATGGCAGTTGTATACTGTTTACCAATGCTTTAACACATTGCTTTAGTTATCTTTTCAAGGTGTCCATATTAGCATATATTCCCTATCCTTCTACGCATTGTATAGCATGCGTATCTATGATGGAAATAGCGACACTGAAACAGGAATCCAACTTGCTCAGCATAGTACACCAAATAAGTCGGCACGTACTGGGAAATTACCTCCGCGTATCCGTAACTATTCTTTCCTCATGTTTTCATGGTCAAGATAGCTCTTCAATTACAAGTTGCATCTTCAAATTAAACCAATTTCACAATATTTTCATGATTAAAAGTGATTCAAAGTCCCACCAGCAACCCAAAAATGTAGAGATGAGATGTGATTGTAATCTGGCATTTCATTGAAGGATACAAAATATAGTAAACTCAACATACAAGCCCTCGCTTGAGTGAAAGCACAGAGTTCAAAAAAACCCTTCACTCTCTTAGGCTCTGTTTGGTTACACTTCGTTATTGGGCATAACACTTACTTTTATTTTACAGCGGCTATACACTTAGTATGGTCCACTCCATTGGCTTGTTCTTTTTTATTTTATTTTTTTGGGGCTCTATATAAGGTACCTATAAATTAATTATTTCATTTGGCTTGTGGATTTTGATCAATTGCCTTCCTCCATCTTTGCAATGTTGAAGAAATTACTCAAATCTGGTCCTCCCAAATCCGAATCTTAGTTGCTCAACCCGAATAGCCGGAAGTATGGGTCCGTGTACTTGGTTGTATTAACGTCAAACCTGGTCTGTAATTAAGAAGAATGAAATCATGTCCTTATATGGGAAGATGCAGTTCATTGTTCATCTTCAAACCACCATATTTCCAGACTTCCATTTTCTTTTTTCTTTTCTTTCAGCTTGCAGTTCTTGGGGCAAGAAGAACAATGAGATTTGATGATTACTAGTTGATGATCTTCAAACCAAGTTATCTTTTCCATCTTCGAGTGCTGGGATTTTAATTTCAAAAAGTATATGAAAACGGTAGATCTCTAAGATAAAGTGGAAGCTGGTAGTGGTATATCTTCTTTTCCCTCTCACAAAAACTAGCATTGATACCCGTGCATAGTGTATTTTAAATAATAATATATATATTATTATTATTATTTTATTTTTTCAGTTAGAAGAATTCATATTCGACTGTGTAATATATGTGATTTTTTTTTTTTCATAAGTTTATAAATGTTGTGATAGAGTCGGTTAAGAGAGACCTTAAAGATTGGAATATCTCCAAGGATTTAGCGGTGGATAGGAGCGCTTGGAGGCTAGCAATCAACGTGCCAGAACCGTGACATTTGCTCCAATCTCTTCCTTTTGTTTTGTTTTGTTTTGTTTGTTTTGTTTTGAACCCCTTTTTGTGTTTCTCTTACCATTGGTTCTCTTGGGTTTCATCTCTAGCCTACCCCAACTTGCTTGGGACTAAAAGGCTATGTTGTTGTTGTAAGTTTATAAATGTTGTGAATGCCTCTAATGTTAGATAAGACATTTGTAGGTAAAATTATAAATAACTACATTTTTTATATTTATTTTTCTAATACTGTCAATTTTTAACAACCCAAAACATATTTGGTTCAATGAAAAATCAAACTCATTAGATCTATTTTGTTTTACCAAATTTTTTATTGACGATTCTATGAAATATCGTTTATTTGATAGTTAAATTTTGCTTTTCAAAAATTTATTTATTTTAAAATATAATGTCCATATTTTGATACTATATTTCCGGTATATATAATTCATATGTTTTCATTTTATTATTTCAATGAGTACCAAATGTAATAATTTTTAATTATGGCACTTGAGTATAAATTATTTTATTTACTCATTTTATTAACAAATATATAACTATAATTTAGTTTTCTCACAAAATATATAGTTCTAATCGATATATATATTTTTTATGTGGAATGTATATATTAATCATCGGTCCACAAAAATAATAATTATAATAAAATATGTTTTATCCACACATCAATAATTTTATAGATACAAACGATTTATTTAAAGGATATACACATTATTTCTTAGATGAATATTGATATTTTTGGGTAATAGTATAATTTAACAAATTTTCAGGGCCAAGAGCTATTTTCAGGGCCTTTTAGTTGCAAACCAAAACATGTTAAATGTCCAGATACGATACCAAATGACACGATATCATCCTTTGTGTGCAGCATACATTTCTCTACAACAAGATAGGTAGGAGAATTTTCTCTAGGTATGCTGATCTTAAGCACGTGCAACCTATTGATAGCTTGGCTACAAGCAGACGTATCACTAGAGAAGCAACTATAGCTGAACATTAGCTTATCGAGTAAGACACAGACATCTCAACTTCGTCGGGTATTTGCTGAGTTTTTTCAGTGAGGAACACTGGGCAGCTTAGCTATCAAGATAGTAATAATGGGATATTTGCTATATTCAGAACTTATATGGGTCTGGGTAATGTAAACTTAAAGCAGAACCATGAAAGAAGACAGAAAATTCAGATGGGGACAAAAAGGCTTGAGCCACATGCTTAATTCGTAAGTCATAACACACTGAATGTAACACCAGCACTACCATACATTACGGCAGCATTATTCAGATTGTCCATTAGCCAGCATAAGTAATGAGACTCCGCGTAAAATCAACCAACGCAAACATCTTGATCAATCTAGACAACTGGGACTCAAACTAGGTACGACATCTAGCACTAAGACTTGATATACTTCCCAAATAAGGATATGTCAGACCTATTTCATTGTGAATTGGTATCTATTGATATGCTTTAACAAGGTACTGTGAAGTATCTTTAAAGTCCAATTATGTTTATATAACAAATAACAATTTCCATTTATCAAGCCATGATTGCATGTCAGATTCTTTACACAAAAGATATGCTACCTAATTTCATCATTTGATACACAAGTCAATGGCATGGGCTACAAATTCCTACTGAAAGTGAAAAATAATGGGGTACATGCTTGGATTAAGAAAAAATCAACATGTGAGGAGAAATACACAGACAAAACACAATTAATTTCTCTCAAAACATGAAAATCAACTACTACTCTATCACCTTATACTGCTAATCTTTGGAATTCAAAATGATATTTGACAAAAAACCGGTTTGCTAGGACTAAAAAGGAAAATCAACATGTGCTGAATGAACTACAGAGAAATCAAGTAACTAATTTATCACCTAATACAGCTAAAAAATACAGCCAAAAATTCATAAAAAGCTCAACAAATTTCTTAAATCCCCCCAAGGGAGGATCTATGGATGATGCACTCAATCACATTGAGAAGATGTTGAAACTGAGAACAAAATTATTTTCAGGAGTAACAGGCCTAGCAGGCATAAACATAAGTTTTACCTGAGCCTTTTTTCTTCCGCAGCAAGTTGTCCAAAACAAAAAGTTGTTTGGCTTTCAATAGGGGTTGATCAGGGTATGCCAGATGAACATTATACCTATTAGTATAATGTCATCAGTCACTGACAAGAAAATGAAAATACAGCTGGAGAAAATGTATGCATAGACCATAGAACGGGTAAAAACTACGGTTTCAGAACAGAACATGCAAAAGAATCACAAACTGATCCAGTAAAACTGACAAATATTTGGTAATAATATGTTGTTTCCACTATCTGAAAGTCAAATTGAAGAATGCACCAGAATTGGATAAAACCTAAATGACTTCTTCCTAGTTGGTCAAAGATAATTACATGAAAATGTTGAACTTCTAAGTTTGAGGAGATAACTGCGTATTTGGAGAGAAAATGCATGTGTATATGTAGAGAAAAGGAAATTGTTTCCTAGATATTCAAACTATCCTTATGAAGATTCATAGATATATACTTGAACATAATTGACACATAAGAGCAACATTTACGTAGAAGAATGAGGAAAATAATTGATTGAAGAATCACAACAGGAACAAGAAAGAAAAAACTTACGTTTCAGCGTAGTGCTCAATATGACTTTTTGAATCATCATATAAGCTATGTCCACTTTTTTCTCGAACAATATCAGAAATAAAGAAAAATGTATCTTTGCAGGGGACATACACCAAACTGTTCTCAACATCATCTATATTTTCCCGACTATTGGCTAGATGCAACTGATAGTTAAGCTGAGAAGTTTCATCAGCCAAACCAAGACTTGGGTGTCGAAAAATGGGAGATGACAAACATCTCCTGACTAGTGTCCAATCTACAGAGATTTTGTCATGTTCATGCAGAATAACTGGAAGTAAGAGGTAGAAGGTCGATGAGCTTGACTCGTACACATCATTATTCTCAAGTACAACATATTCCTGTGTAAGTTTGTGTCGATCAACAATAATTTTGAGAAAGAGCTCCTGGAACATTTCGGCTGCGGCAATCTGTGTAAAACAAAACCAGCTTCAGAAGCACACTACCTAGTATCATGCTGAACAAATTGAATGAAAAGACGGAACAATACCTCATCCTTATCAAACATAGCAATGCCTGATGAAACTAGTTGTGTCATCACCATTCTACCACGAGCCAAACAAAGATCCACTTTCATTTTTCCAGCCTCTTCTGGTAGTGGTTCCTTCACGAAAAGACCAAACCTTCTGTATGTCCTATCAGCTGGATTTGGACAAAACTTGACGAAGTAAGAACTAAAACTAGTGGACTCTCCCTCTTTTGTCCAAGGTTTCCTAAGAGCAGAAGGAACAAGCATCTCATATAGTACAGCTCGTGAGTCCTCCTCTGCAAGAAGTACAAAAGCAAATTATAAAGCCTTTCTATTTGTATACAGGATGTGAACTTTGTACAAATGACACTCTCACCATTCATGTCATCAGGATCATATGGATCCAAGGTTTGTTCCTCATACTTCTCATCTTGCTCTGGCAATAGATAATCAGTCAATGCTCCAATTTCATGTAATGCCTTGCATGCTTTAAGACAGGCATCTTTTTTAGCTGCCTCCGTCGATGGTTGTGGTGTGCTGGCAATTTGATGAATTGGAGCATTGGCTGGAAGAATTATGTTACAGACCATTCCATCTGCATCATCATAGTAGAAGAACAGGGGCTTTGGATTGAAATACCTAATACAGTATAGTACGATATCAGTTTACTATGGAAACCAGAATGAACAGTATTGGTGTCTCCAAATCAAGGAGCACAGCAGAATAATCAACAGTAGAACAACATCATACTCATCATGTGGAAGTTTTGAGCAATAGCGATGCAGCAATGAGATACTCAATACTGAACTAATAGTTGCCCCAGTAGCATCCACTTTATAGGTTTTCTCCTCAAAATAAGATATTGGCACATTGGAATTTCTCAAATAAATTTCTTCATTCATTTGGGCTTCGTCTTTTTTAAAATGTTCAATCAAGCTGAGATCCCTTGGATTGTCTCTGCAATGTTTATGCCATCAAATATTAATTCTGTTGAAAAAGCAATAATAGATGAAAATCCACAAGCAAATACGAAAAAGAAGCACCTGTCCACCAGAAATGCATATTCAGACTGGGGCATACGGGCACGACCTCTAGATTGAATGAAACTTGCAACTGTTTCTGGAAGATCAAACCGTATTACAAGGCAACATGTCTGAATATCAAGTCCCTCTTCACCCACTTTTGTTGCAACTAACAGATTTAGCTGCCCAAGTAATTTGATCACAGAAACTAGATGGTTTGAATATGTTTGACAAACTTCCTACATAATTCTTACTGAGAAACAATTAGATCACAACGCAAAATATCACACGGGTTCGATCAGAATTGTTCCCGGGAAAAAAATGGAAGAGATGGAAAGAGCAGACATGTTAATATTAGGACTAATTACCTCACCGGAACGGAACTTTCCAAGGATGATGTTTGTATTTTTACGGGACATGAGTCCAGAATGAACTCCCACGAGGAATCCACACTTCCAACATGATAAAAACTTCAGATTTCGAAGTATATTTGAGAGTGATCTTGCAGTAACAATCCTATTTACAAAAACTATGCATTTCATATTAGGCTGGCCCCTGTAAATGAAATGGCAAAAAAAAAAAGAATGTTATGAGTGTTAAACACTGCTGCTCACATAGATTAACAATGACTTACATAAATCTCTATAAGAGATGCCTTTTTGAATATTAAACACAGATTGCATGATTGAAAGGACTAAACTGGCAATTCATGAACAATGCAAGGAGGAGAACTTATATTGATCGGCTATGCTCAATCAAGCAAAGGTTTTATTTATTTTATGTTTTTCATTTTTTCCTTTTTATTTTATTTTATTTTATTTATTTTATTTTTTTGGCATTACAAATACAATAATGATCTGTGTAGAATCTTTGAATTTATCCAGACACAATGCTCAAAATTCATGCAACTGATGATCAAAGCCTATACGAAGCATGAAACGGTACTGAACCCACAAGGGCAACAAATGGCTTGTCTAATGGATGCATATAGATTCTTTTGTTCTTTAGAAATTTAAAGGCGTCAATAGGTTCCATTTTGTTCTACGGAGGATGGGGCATCGCAATCCACTTTTTTTTTTTTTTTTTTTNTTTTTTTTTTTTTTTAACTATATGTCCTAGTTACAGCGTTAATGGTGACCTCCATGATCAGTTATCAGGGGTTGTGATTCCAAGGTGCTCCTACAAGGTGCAGAGACAAACCTATGCAGATAGCACTGTCTTATTTTCCATAATTATTTGGTGTACACAAAAATTGAAAACGCCGGTTCGGTTTACACTATTTATGGACTATTTTTTGTCTTTGTAGACAAGTCCATTTTGGTTTAGCTTAAATCGAATTAATCAACTAGTGCACAACACTTTATATATTGTATAGATTTTGGGCAGTTGTTTCAGTCAGACTTTGATGGTTATTTCTTTATCATGGAGACTAAATACCATAAAATGTGGTTGTTAAAACATATCGTATCTGAAAAATATTTATTTCAAATTAATAACTCAATCATATGTTAGATTTAAATTATATGATTGCTTAGTATGAAAACTCTCTTATTATGCTTAATTTATTTATCGTCAAACCAGCAATATGCCATGAATTGAAAAGATTATATCGGCAAAACAAATAAGATTATTTATCCTAAGAGTTGACATTTCAATTAGAATGTTTTCAAACTATACAACTTTTTTACAATTTAGGTGTTTATAGACATATTTTCAAGAATAATTTTAAATGGACCGTTTAAATCACACGTCAATTGAGTGTCCATATTTATCTAACTACAACACTTGCTTGCAGTTTGAAAATAATCGGAACTCATATGAACTGTTTAAATTATTTTAGAGCGAAGTTTGAAAAATCCCGACTACACAATTGTGTGAAATTTTGTTAACTTTTCCAGGGAATCACATAGCAAAATTGGTTTTCAAAATTTATATAACTACAACACCTTCTTGAAATTTGAATTCTTTTCATTATTTTTTATACATTAACAATCGTAAATCGATTAATTTATTAAAAAAAATCAAACGCAATATTTTGAGTAATATCTTCTATTATAAAATAGATACTCTAATTACAAATATTCTCTCATAAAATTCACCGATAATATTGTTTGATATCTAATATTTTTAGGTTGTAATACATGTTTTTTATGCATATAATATTTTAGATACTTTGGAATATGTTGTTTGAACAAATTTACTACACATATACAAATTTTTCTTCCAAAATTGTTTAGATAAAATTTAAGTGACTTCATGCATATTCAAGAATAATATAGAATATTTTAGGTATTTTTACATATGTTATATAATATTTTAGGTGTTTTTAATATTTAAACATACATGTTTTATGTTCTTTTACACATGTTAATAGTATATATCATTTTCAACAAACTGAAATTATATCAATTTAGTGACAGTTTTATTTTGAATTTTTTTCAAATAATTCTTCTTTTATTTGGGTTTGAAATTGAAAATTTCAAATTATTTTTATTCAATCACACGGTTAAACAAATTGACCGTAAACAAGAGTCGGGGTCAATCCTTATCTCATGTTGTCTTATTCTGGAAGAAAATCGTTTTTAGTCATGACCAGTTATATAGCGGTGTCTCCCGGAATGTTAGAAATTTTTAATTTGTGGAGAAGAAGGTTAGCCACAAAATCAAACAAAAAATATTGTGTATATGGAATTGTTCAATCATATATGATTTTTCATACTTGCATTTCTTTTCTTGCCATGTTTAATTTTCACATCGAGAACAAATGTTCACGCAATAATTATATTTAAAATAATGTTTTAAAAAGGTTTTGAAAAACAAGACTCATCGTGCATCACACGGGTTGCTCGCTAGTATATTGAAAGAGGTTGTAGGGAAAATCTAAAATAGTAAGTTGACGTTTAATTTAAATACATTGACTTTCTATTTAAGGAATTTTTTTATAAAATGCAAGTGAAATTCGAAAAAAAAGTAACAATATAGTCACATCAATTTTTTTCCTGTAAAAATGCGTGTGTCTTTTCAAAACAAATCATACCCTACAACTGTCGTTACTTTTTCTCTTTCTTAACCCATTCCGTTCCTCTTAAAATAATTTACTTTTTTGACAAAACAAATGAAAATCATATCTTTTACCTTTCTAGCTTTTTACTTTCCCCTCACTATTTTTACAACACAATTAAATTCAAAATTATTTTCTAATGTCCAAATCATTAATATTTTTACTCAGCATATTAAAATCTAATAAATTCCTTCCAGTTTCATCTGCGTATAGTATGTTAAATATGATATGAATATAACATATCATAAATATTGTTTCATGTTTTTTTTCTTTTTCATTTTTAATTATTATTAGTGTTAATGTCATTTTCTTTTAAAAACTTAATAATATTTTTATTTGTTATTCGTATTTTATTATAATATTAAATTAATCTTCATTTTATAATATTCAATTTGACATTCATATTGTATGTATAAATAAAAATTAATTATTCTTAGGGTATTAATAAGTTTATTAGTTAATATTGCATAGATAAAATGAACTTAAATTTGTTATTTAATATTGATTTAAAAATAAGAAATTAGCCTCGAGTTATTCATACTAAATATAAACGTATGTATAATAAATGGATTTAGTATAAAATAAATAAAATAGTAAGTGTTATGTTTATCCTTCACGAGTTTAAAAAAAAAATGCTAAAACTATAGAAATACAAGTAAACAATTATTCGAGGATCAAGTATATACAATTTTGAAATGATAAATGAATGGGTCATTTGTCGAATTGTCATGTAAATTATTGAAAAATGACAACTCTTTTATAACGGGTTAAATAAACATATAAAATTTTATATTAAACCATTATATATCATAAAATTAAAATAAAATATAAAAATTAAATATTAATATTCAAAAATGTTTTTATAGTAATTAATGTTCCTTCATTTCTTTATTTTATACTATTGCTCGTGCATCGCACCGGCTACGTACTTGTTGTCTAATGAAAGATATATAGAGCAAGAAAAAACAAACCTAAAGCTGGAAAGAATTCCAATAAGCCGTAAAAGCTTTCTCGAAAAATAGGGCTCCTTCAAAACTTCTATGCAGGACATATCAGCTCCAATGTCGTCTATACAATTAGAGAGAAGAAACAATAAACATGAGAAAGAGATTGCATATCCCCAAAAGACAGAAATAAAAAGTATCTCATCACAAAGTGAAGCAACGACAAAACAAACACTTCTATTGAAGGAAATAACTTTCCAAATGAGAAAAATGTACTTAATGCAAAAGACATCTGGCTAAAGCAACTATCAACATATAGAAGATGGAGTAGAAATCAACTGTAGCCATATAGTTACTTAATACCTTCACCACAACTAGTAGCAAGGACTGAGGTAACATGATGCAAATAATTTTTGCATTGGTTGCCATCACTCGAACTCTCTTCTGCATCCACCAACCCCGTATTCTCATAATGATCACCCTTTAAAAAGATGTGGCTGGCCTTTTAAGAAATCAGAATTCAGAAGTAAATTAGAAGTTTAATCCTTCCCACCAGAGACTTACACTAACATACAGAAAAGGGAAAAGAACAAGGGACTTGCAACATTATTATGGAAGAGCAGTCAGTATGTTTTACTAGTCACAAATGTCAGAGATACATACATTGAAGTGTATTATTATTGATTAATTAAATAAAAGAGCAAGAAACATGATATGTATGGTTCATGGAAATTTAGGGTATCTTCTAGTGGTGAGAAATCTTCAAATACAAACTTCCATTGACGCTCACTTCCAGAAAATAATCTTCGTGGATATGAATTCTTGTATATGATTTCTGTACAATTTATATTTGTCCCACATCGATTAGTTACTAGGATGTTATTGTGTATAAGTGTGGGTTGAGCACCCTCTCCCTTTGAGCTAGCTTTTGAGGACAAGTTCTACCCAAGCCCATTTATCATGGTATCAGAGCCAGGTTTGTTTGTTTGGAGGCGATGGTAGGTTTTGAACTCGGCCCATTTGGTTTGGCATGCTGCGCGAGCAGGTATTAGAAGTTATGATTGTCCCACATCGATTTGTTACTGGGCTGTTATTGTGTATAAGTGTGGGATGGGCACCCACTCCCTTTGAGCTAGCTTTTGGGGATAAGTTCTACCCAGTCCGTTAACCCAAGTTTTTAAATGATGCACAACCATATCAGCCAATCAGTTGAAATAAAGGTTTTTGTAGCACTGCAAGTCCTTAAAAATATTTACCAGCATATACTTCACTTTTGTGAGTGAAGACTACTGACTATCAAGGTCTCATAGCACTATGGCAACATCATGTTCTTCCAATATAAGGTGAATAAGACGAACCCCAAAACTCAAGGAAAACATTCGGAGGCAAGACTATAGACTGGAGAGTGATAAAAAGAACAAAATATGTGAAAGGGAGATGTCTCACTGAGGCATAGTTCAATGTTTAATATATTACATCCATATTCAATAACGGGAATGGTCTCAAAGGAGAAAGGACAACTAAATATTCTTAATCATTACCTGTAAAGCACCCCATAGTCCAAGGTTCTCTAAACAAAACATCAAATTACAATGCAGCTTTTGAAGCGACTTTTTGGTGTTCCTGACAACACTCTGATCAACTGAGTTCATCCGAAGCGCCGAAATAGACTGTTATACCACAGATATCATTGCAATGTTCATATCAATAAATTTACTGACACAATTGAAATACAATACCTGGTGCTTTATCTCCTCAAGTTTCCTACTATAACTCATGAGCGGGGAAGAACAGCCATTTCCAGTTGAACTATAATAATATATATTCACTTTTGGGGATGTAACAAATTTCTCAAGTTCATCCTTATCTTCAACGGAATAGACCTATCATAAAATTAAAAAGAAAAAAAGGAAAAAAAAATTATCAATTGACAAAACATTTGTGAGAGGAGACCAGACACAAAGGCAGAGAAGGAGAGCAAGCGGACGAGCTTTATGTCCACTAACACACTGCTAAATCATCTTCTACACTTACCAACATTAAAATTCAACGGGCGTACAAACTAAACAAAGCAGGTGTAGGTAAATCTTTTAAAACGCACCTTTGCTCGCAACAATGCCTCTAGACCATCAATCGAGCCACCTGAAAAGCATGAAAGCGTGTTACTGCAGCAGCAAGGAAATAAGAAAATAAGGACATAAATTTCTCAGTAAAAGAGTTTTTTCGATTCATGGATGGAGGTGCTATATATTTTTACTTGTGCACATCTACATCCCCTCAGTCGAACTACTTGTTTAACATAAGCACCGCAATATTATTCCTGTAGGTCAAACCAATCAATGACCTGATGAAGCTAACTAGGATAGTAGGTTTCAATTTTACATAGGAAGGTACCTTGATTTGGAGTGTTGGGACTTGGGAGAATACAATTCGAGAAAACATTAATTAAAAGTGAAAGTAAAGTATAGGAAGACATAAAAGTCAAACACAGAAATAAAATCACATTGGCTCAATATACTAATTAAGATGATTAACTCCATATCCAAGAACATACAGAATTATAAAAATGTTCACTGAGTTCATGATCCACATAGTGAAACCAGAAACTGACAACTTGATATCAGTCATTACAGCTTGTCTGAAGATTTCTTTTCATGATACTGGAAGAAAGTTTTAGATTATATTAACTATGCCATGGTTCAAAGAAAAATTTTCACTTGAAGTATAAAACTAGAGATATAGTTAAAGATCGATCTGCTGCTGTTTTATCATTCCAATGTTTTATGTTATCTAATTAAACAATTGGGCTTTAGACCTGTAAAGTTGGAATACCAATTAGAGTTATACAAGTATTATGTTACTATTTGTGTAGATTGTTGAACTGTTAGGTTATATTTTATTGAATAGGATTGGCGGCTTTAACCCACACCAGATTCTTTTTGAATGGTCGTTTTTTAAACAGGTGCGGATTTGTCATGAGTTGTTCAGTCATTTTCCTAACGAATAATATTATAATTTTTTTTTTTTTTCGTTTGCTTTACCCTTGGGCCTTGACTCTCCGATTTCATATAAGAACATAGCTGCATTGGATTTCGACATCACAGAATAGCTTTATAACACTTTTGATCAAACAACGATATAATTATAACACCACGTTAAGAGCACTGTATTACCTTTTCCTAATTTTGGAGATGCAGTCATGCCAAAAATACGGGGAAGTCTGGATGCATCCATGTTGTAAAATATCTACAGCGTCCATAGCTAAAAAATTAGCAACATAAACTATCAAACTGATATCTTAGATACATACCACGAATCCACGATTATTCTAAGTGAATTACTTTCATAATTTCAGCATAAGGATGGTTGCTTTCAAGTTGTGCATAATGACATTCATCAAATATCAGAAGGGCAACCAGTTCAATCTTGATAAAACAGTGTGAAAGGCTATGTAGCATTATCTGAGGGGTCATAACAAGGACCTGCACATGGAGAGAAAATTGTTATGAAATAATACATGTCGGCATTCACCAAAGTTCTCACTGAACATACAAGAGAATCAGTTTGCGAGGTCTCCACATAAGACATTAGTTCTAAATCACATCATACAAAAAGGCAAAAAGAAAAGTAAACAAAGAATCAGCAAGCAAGAGAAAAGCACTAAGCAATGTAAACTGGATGAACCCATGGGCACAACCATTTGGCTAAGCAGGAAGCGAAGATGAAATATAGTGCATGAGAATTGAGAAATAGTGCTCTTAACTCCTCATAGTTAAACTCACTACTAAATCAACCAACCTCCTGTTCCTCAATCTCTTTTTCCCAGTCATGGCGGCTCTTTAAATGAGTTGAACTTCCGCAATAGGTCCCAACTTTAAGATCAAGAGAATTTTCGAGGACCTTGGCTTGCTTTTGGAAGAAAAGGGGGAGGGAGGAACATTAGAAACCACTAAGTTCAGCCAACTTAATTCAGCAAGTAAACCAAAAACATAGCTAAGATACATATTTGGATAAAACAAATAAGATGAGGCTGATCTTTCATTAAACTCTAGACAATTTATACGAGAGATGCAATTTACATTATAAGGGGGTATATGTCAATATATACACAACAGATACAACAGGTAATTGAGTAAAATATTTGGCATGAATGTGGTACCAGCATCTAACTGGTGAGTAAAATATCTGACATGAATGTGCTACCAGCATCTAACTGATTTCTAAGCAGTTACAATATATTCACCAAATAACAGAACTGGGTTCAAAACAATTTTCAAAGACCTTGACTAGCTTTTGAAAGAAAAATAGGAGGAAGGAAATAAAAAGAAAAACCAACTGAGTTCAGCTGGCTTAATTCAGAAATTATGAAAACAACGTAGATAACTTGGATATCTGAAAAAAGTTGACTGTGTTTTTAATTGAACTCAAGACAAGTTATAAGCAAGACACAATTTAAACTGAAAGAGAGTACATGTTAAAATATACACAACATATACGATAGGTATTAGGGTAAAATATAGCAGTAAAATGTATTCACCTTCACCAAATAACAGAATTTTGTAATAATAAAATCCTTGCAGAAATTTGAGATAGTGGTGAGAAATATTTTTTTCAAGTCCCATCTTACACTTACATGTGACAGCGTCCTGACTCTAAGAATAGGATTTATGTTTCAAAAAGTGGCCCATGCATTTTTACACAACAGTCAAACAGGGGAATGTACAAGAGGGAAAAAAACCTGTTGAACCAGAGCAACTGTTGGAGCAAGAAAAATGCATAAGTTCTTCTGAGGCCTCTTAATTAGGTGTCGCATCTCATGAATAAGTAAAACAGCAATATGGGTTTTCCCGCATCCTGTCTCCAAATAGACAACAACATTCTCATCCAAGGCCTTCTTGCAAAGGTCAATCTGATACCTGTATTAAAATTAAGAAGTCGACAATATACTCAATGTGACCTTCGGTTTGGGATAATGAGTTCAACAGAAAGGATCATACATTCATGAAGTGGTGATGAAACGATCGCATGTACGATACATAATTCCACATACAAACCAAGTTAACAGTAATCTATAGAAGAAGCTTCTACAGCTAAATTTAGTTCTAAGAAAAAAACTTAGACTTCGGAAAAAATTCAGTTTCAGCTACAACCAAGCAAAGAAGATAATTACAAATTACTTTGAAAACAGTAATCCTTCCAGAAGATCTTCAAGCCAGAGCCAAAGGTGGCAATTTGCTTGTTTGATCATAGTGATTTTAAAGAGAAAAGTGCAAAAATGCTGTTCAAGAATAAATTTGAATGCAACCGTACATGAGACGAAACTGTAATCAAGACAATTTTTTTAGAAACAAGGATCTTATAAAACTAAAAGAAGATAACAGCAAGTGGATAAGATATCCAATAAGATTGACACAAACTTAAAACATCAAAGAGCTGGCCTCTAATCTCTAACTAAATCAGAAACAAAAAGTGCTTATATTCATGGTGCACTATAACCCGTAAGGCGACCCAAAATTCTAACATTGACTCTTCAATCTTTAGAAATTAACAACATGGACAGTCGTTCTCCCTAAAATTCTTCCTTCAAAACCCAAATACCATCCAAGATCAATTGTGTAATGATCCAAGCAAAACCGTAGATATACCTACACCAATCCAAGCTATCTTAGGATCATGGACCATAGTTGTTGCACTATCACAATTTTGATTATGATTATCCAGACAAGGATCTTTAAGTAGAATAGTAATTATTTATGATTGGCAATTTGATAAAAAAGTGGGAGTCAAGATAGTGTATTTCGATTATAAAAGCATGATGGTGACAGAAAATGCGATGTTTTTTTCCTTAATTTAATTTATAATTGGACATTGTTTGATGGCAGAAAAATAAGAGGAGAATGTACTTTTCCAAAATTATTCTTATAAACAGCATCTCAAGATAACAGGGAGATACCCTTATGAAAATTTTGCAAAATTTAAGAAAATCAGCAAAAACTCTTTCTCACTTCTTCTAAACAAATATAACTGAAATTCACATTATGATCACCTCGATATGATCACTAATACAATTAAACTGAAATTTCTCATTTCACAAGCTAGAAATATCATAATGCCTATCTGCTGCTGAAGTTGCTGTGGAAGTTCAAAGTAAATTGTCTTTACACCTTGCAAAAGATGGACAAGGGGAGATTCAATTGTATTCAATTTTACTCATTCTTTCTATCCAAATTAAGAAGTCGACAATATACTCAATGTGACCTTCCGTTTGGGATAATGAGTTCAACAGAAAGGATCATACATTCATGAAGTGCTTTAGTGATTATACGCTTACCTATTACCCCAAATATTTTCTCTAGGCTCTAGAATTCCCAATTTTACTCGAACAAAAGATTAACAGTAATATCGAGAGAAAAAAAAAAAATCAAGAAGACCGAAGAAGCAAATGTAGCTGCATGATTATCAAAAATTACAGAGAAAAGTGTGTGTGCTTACTTCCTAGCAATTCTTGTGGGATCCTTCTCTGGAATCGGCTGTTGCTCGTCAGCAGTGAGGCACAGAGTTGAGAGCTGCTCCGAAATCCCATTATCGGCGGGATCACTTTGGTGAGCGGTCGTACTGACGCCGCCGTCCATGTCTGTGCTCGCGGCCGCAGTCGACGGAGTAGCAAAAATAAATTGACTTGTGCTTGACCCAAGTCGACGACGGTTTTTGCCTTTTCTACGGGTTTGCGTGAGGAGAGGTTTTTCTGGTCCTCACGGGTGAAGATTCTTCGCTTTAATTTGTCAGACGGGGTTTATATCCGTACTACGACACACCACCACAACTTGTATATAATCCCATAAACAAAATTATCTAATCGCAAAAAAATAAAAAGTAAAAATAAAAACAAACAAAATTCTCTTTCTCTCACGTACTACTTCAAATTAAAATATTAGCAAAACAGTATTATTACGTACATTGATTAATAAAACATTTATACTAAGAAATATTGCCTCCCAAATTTTTGTGTTTTCCAGTTATAATATATATTTTTTTATATACATTTTAAACTTTGCAAAAATTTTACTGAATTGTTATTCACCGCCCCCTATTACTCTCTACCACCCTCCCTGGACAATTTTGCTCCTGACATAATTTTAGAATTTTAAAAAAAAAAAAAAAAATCACTCTCTCAAACTCTCCCTATTCTCTAAGGGTGGGCGCGGTTCGAGACGGTCCGGGATTTGACCTATCCCGGTACCTGTCCCGTTTTTACGAATCGGTCCGGGACGAGACACCGTCTCAAACAGATCGGTATCAATTAGGACCGGGACAAAACAGTTCCGAATCGAGACAAAATGGATCAAAAAAAGTTACAATTGATTCACTTAAAACAAACATATTAGGGGTTTTAGAACGTGAAATCAACAATGCTCTTCAGAGATTTCATAATAAAAGAAGATCGGCAAGAAATGAAGACAAACTGATATGTTAAATCCTTTTCCTTTCTCATCCAATAAGGTTTTAAAGATGCCCCATGATAGATTAGCTAACCCACTGTGGTCAGCAACTCTTTTCTTCAATTTTTATTTATTTGATCTTTTCTTTTTCTATTGAGAGCTCATGCTATTGTATTTTTCTGCTTTCACGATGCCTGCTAAAATATACAAGAAACAGTAAAACAATGCTACACGTGCGATTCCAGAAATATTTCTTATATGTCAATATTTTAGTATAGAGTTATGCAGTCTACCTAGAAACTTACACTTGCAACAGAAATTATACATGAACCATAAACTTACATTTGGAGCACGTTTGTTTAAGGAGATCGGACTAGATAATTTTTATCTAGGTATTCAAGATTGGGGTGAGAGATAATTTTATACTTGTGTTTGTTATGCTTGATTTACTCAAGACAAGATCATCTTCATAATATGTTTTATATGTTTGTTTCCATAGACAAAGAATAAGATTAGATGGACATTTCCAAGTTTGTGGTGGGAATGAAATATCTTCCTAATATGCTTCCTGCAACTTTTCTCCCATCTACGCGGGCCATCAATTCCGCTAAGAGTCAAGGTGGTATTGTTACTCTTGATTCTTGATTTGCGGTTTCTAGTACTTTCTACAGTGAAAAATGCGGTTAATTCTCGTGGCAATGATATTACTTGAAATCTTAAACAAACAAATCCCAGAAAAAAATTTGGAATCATAAACAAAATTCATTGTGATTTCTCTAACTCTGGGGAGGTAAGAATTTATAATATTGTCATGAATTTCATGTGCACAAACTCGACTTCATCGCACCCAGATCCACCGCTCTCATCTCCAACAAAATTTCATGCCCCACTAGCCATTACTTCATCCTTCTGCAACTTCTCTCACCGACTTCCGCCCAACGTTGCCGACACTGTCCCAGATTCGGCCGACGCTGCCGACCTCGTTCCAGTCTCTACCCAACATCGGCGGCCGCGGTGGCGAGATTTTCCGTCTCTGCCAAGGTGAGTTTTTTATTTTAGGTGAATGGCATACAGAGTAATTTTCGCTTTGATCGAGGTTAAAATAGTCATCAAAATTTACTTTTAGGGATAGATTTGTAAATTACATTATTGAATATTGTGCGGACATAAATAATCTGACCCCCATGGCCCTGATCAAATAATCTCTGATTTCCAAGACAAATGTACTGTGCATCGCGGGCCGTGTCTTATCTAGCGGGCCAGTATCTTGGTAAACAAACAGCAGATAAGTGGTAGATTGTAGGCCCAATCTGGTCTCATCCGGGCTACCAAACGCGCTCTTGAAGTATGTCTCACAACTGCAAGCAAAGTGGCAATTGATCTAAAGATTCACTTTATGGACAATAAATAATTTGCTCTGAAGAACAAACTACATGGACTCTGCGTGTTAATTATTTACTATAATACTAACATAAATATAATAATAATGTATAATATATATATATATATATATATAAAAACTAAAACGGGAAAACGGGACGGTTCGGAAAAAAAAAATTCAAAACCGATACCGACATTGATTTAAACGGTTCGGTACTGGGAATGGTACGAAAATTTTAAAAACCGTTTGGAACCCTATTTTTCGGAACAGGACCATTTCGATTCAGTTCGGTACCGGAAAATTCGGTTTTGTTGCCCACCCATACTATTCTCTGTCGCCTCGCCCCCAAAAAAAATCCGAAAAATTTGGAAAATCCTCGCTGAGAACAGGTGAGTCTTGCAGGAAACTTGACATCGAGAAATTTGTGCAAAAGGCGAAAATGACAAAGAGAAACAAGTGAAGGTATTTATAGGCGAAGAGATAGAAAAGATGAAGAGGTGGGTCGACCGCAGCCATTAGATCAGGTCAATACGGATGGTTTAAAGTGAAAGAAGCGAAAAAAGGCCAAAAGCCGGAAGCCAAAAAAGGCACGTCCTCCCAGTGGTGAGCTTCCACGTGTTGGATTTTGAACCGTTGGTGTACGAAGGGTTGCCTACTTCTTGAAACATTTCATATGTTCATTTAACAAGGGTGGCATGTGGACTAAAGAAGATATCTGGTGGCAGATATATACAAGGGAAGACAGACATTCTATTCTCCCTATTGATGATGTTTTTCTGATAGACATATTCTTCCCTTATGTTTCAACTTTATTGTAATTTGTCACTTTTTGAGAGGGAATTTGTTCGAGTTTCTTTGCTGACACTAATGTCGAATTAAAGAGGAAGGTTTCTTGGAACCTAAGGTTGAAGCAAGACTGGAGTATGTGGACCAGCTTTTGGCAGAGGCGGTGAGGATGGTCATGGAGGATCTCTGGCTTCGACCGTTCTGGACGTCGATAAGACTCTCGACATCAACTGGCTTCTGAGAAGGATCTAAGAGGGCATGAAGTTGCCTATGTTGAGAAGGTCCTAAAGCTGAACAATGGAAATAAAAAATATCTCAGAGTCGGCAAAATTTGAAACGGTATGCGTTGAACCCTCGCTTCTAGTTTCACTATTCTTAGGGTTTAATTCGTAGTTGTCCATAACTTGCATGATTTTGACGATCCTCACCGAGTCCCAACAGGTTGAGTATAGCATTAGATTAAAACAAGAGTGGACAAGTCAGATTGAAAGCCGAGGAGGCAAAGGGTTGGTCGAACATGGCTGTTGGATAAAAAAAAAAATAGGCAAACGAGATGAAAGCATAGAGGTGAAAAGACAAGTTGGGATAGACCGTCAAATTCAAGGTATATCAAACGGGCAAGATTGGATGGGTAGTTAATGGGTACACTGCACAAGACAAGCATGGACTGTGAGAGGTTCACATCAATTGGATGTGTGTTAGGATGACATGTGATTCATAAGAAATTCAAAATTTAAATTTTGAACTTAGAAGGGGAAAGCAGTAACTCGAAAATAATGGTGGTAACCAAAAAATACAGAAGTAAGAAGGTCGATTGTGCTGGACATGAGCTCAATAAATCAAGGTCAAGAAGGTCGATTGTGCTGGACATGAGCTCAATAAATCAAGGTCAGAAGTAACTATCTACTCTTAGATCGAGTTAACTCGACCAGAGTGGGTGGGTGGGTGTGGAGGGGGCAGATGATATTGGATACTATACCGGGTGACCTTAGAAACATAGAGCATGTTTGGATATGAAAATTTTTAGTTTTGTTGGATTTTTTTGGTTTGCTTGGGTTGATTTTGAAAAAGGTAGTATGGTTAGTTGTTAGTGGGTATATTAAAATAATTAAAATTGATTTGATGTAAAAGTAGGAGAGAGATGATTTGAAGTGATGGTTAGTTGAAATAATGTGAGTGGATGAATAGTAAATTAAGGTTGATGTGGTGTGTATGAATGATTGATTGATATTATTTAATTATATTGATAATATCTATGACAGTGTCATTGAGTTAAAGTTGAGTTAAAAAAAAGTAGTTGAGTTAAAATGTTAGGAATTTTTTTGAGATATCTTGTATACACACATACTCATACTAACTAGACTGGATGCACTACTAGGTCGATCGGAGGCCGAAGGATAGGGAGGTCGAAAGTGACATCACCAAAAACAGATACCAACAGGTTGAGCTAAAGCCCTTTGAAGGCCTGTGGGGAGCTCGACCTGGTAACATTGTTGGTCGATGGATCGACCTAGCGGACAGAGCACGAGCTCATTGAAGACAACATTCTACCTCCAGATAATCAAGATCAGTAGCATGATTAGGTCGTCTGATAAATAAGACAAAGAAATAAGAAGGAATCTTTATGAAGATAATCACCACAAGTCGGACAAATCTTTCGGGCGGTCTTTGGCAACAAGACACCACCCCTATATAAAGGGATGAGGTATAGCAATCCAAACTCTACACACTCTTACAGTACTCTACTATTGTCCATCATCTCCTCCACATTTCTGACAGTTCATCCCGGGGATTTCGAAAGAAGGGCCCCAGTCGGCATTCCTTGACTTCACTGCGCTTCGATTCGTTCGTTGGGTCGATGTAATTGAGAAAAAGACTCACTTCGCTCTCCTCCCCCGCTTTCTCTCATCAATTCGACGCTGCCAGGTACAAACGAAGCAAAGTGAAGGGTCGATGTAATTGAGGTGTAATTGAGAATGGTACGAAGGAGAAGTTAGGAACCAGATTCTTACTCGTAGCAACCAGCTCCCTAATTCGAGAGTCTCTTTCTGTGTAATCAACTGGGGCATAGAAGAGATATCTTTCAAAGTATAGCTTCTAGTTCATCCCACACTAGTTCTTTCAGTACTTAAGCATCGGAGACTCTACATCAAAAACCCCTTCGACGTTGAGTTTGTGCAGGTATCGAAGGTCATCAATTGGCGAGGAGGTAGATCAGCTCATGTTTAGTCGGTTGAATGTCTTTTACATACCAAATTCCCTTTGTCGTTTTGGGGATGAATTTTCATTGGGAAGTTAGCGTTGTTGTCGTGATTAGGTTTTTTTTAAAAAGGTCAACCCTTGATTAGTAGGGTAAGGGTTTTTTATTCGATGATATAAAAGTTGTTTCTTTTAGAATTCCTAAAAGGAGTAATCATGACGGTTTCCTTTAATGACGGGAGCGGGTTCGCGAAAAAAGGCATGTCCTTCCAACAGTGATCTTCCAAGTGTTGGATTTTGAATCGTTTGTGTACGAAGGATGACCCTCTACTTGAAACGTCTCATCTGTGCATTTAACGAGGATGGCGCATGAACTAAAGAAGATATATGATATGAGGGCACATATATATATACAAGGAAAGACAGACCTTCCATTTCTCCCCCATTGATAATGCTTTTATGACAGACATATCTTCTTCCCTTATGTTTCACCTTTATTCTAATTTGTCACTTTAATTTTGAGAGGGAATTTGTTCAGGTTTCTTTGTTGTAATTTGTGTGTTATCGATCGATGGGCAAAAGCAAATACTTGTCGAATTAAAGAGGAAGGCAACCGAAAGTAGACAGTTGGTGGCCGCGGTTCAAAGGAGTGGTGGTCGCGAGGCCAAGAGTGGCGACAGATGTCCCAATTATGGTTCAGGAGAACATGGTGCAGACAGAGGGTCCTTAGGTCGAAACATCGGGATCTGAAGAAGATTTTCATGGAGGCCCCCAAGAGAGGAAAGCTGAGGAGGGTGGTCAATTAGAAAAGTTCCCTCCTGAGGTGACTTCAGGAGAAAACTTATAAGTCAATGTTGGGCAACGGTTATCGTGTAACGACCCTCCATTGGCTTCTAGAATAGTGGCAGTAACGGTGGCCTAGGGGGTGAGGAGGCTCCTATGGTGGATCATGTTTAGGGCTTGCTATCTCCTGACCCAGAGGTGGTCGCGTTGGCATTCGTAGCGAATCGGCTGCAGTTCCTGTTACGTGAGGGAGCGGTGCAAGGCCGATCAGTCGGAGATTTGGCGTCTTATAAAAGAGGTCGTCCCAAGATTTGAATGGTCGGTGTTGTGCCCTGGAGAGGGCTCTTGCTGATGTGACCGAGCTTCAGATGCGGCTATGGTCCAGGCAGAGTCCCAATTCGTCAAATTGCAAGATTTACGCAGTTGGTTGGCTGAGAGACCGTCTTCAGGGGGAGGCTTCTTGGAACCTAAGGTTGAGCTGTCAATGAGTAGCGCCTGGAAGCAAGACTAGAGTACGTGGACCGGCTCTTAGCAGAGGCGGGTGAGGATGGTCATGGAGGGTCTTTGGCTTCGATCGCTCTATACGTCGATAAGACTCTCGACATCAACCTGCTTCTGAGGAGGATCTAGGAGGAGCGTGAAGTCGCCTATGTTGAGAAGGTCGTAAGGCTGAACGGTTGGACTTGTACTACAACATCCGCCGTGCCTGATGAGGATGACGCCGAGAATGAGGATGAGGCGTCGTGCTCGATTTGAACATACGATAATACCAAAACGTTTGGTTCAGTCGCTGAACCATTCCCAATCCTGATATTATATGCAATGTTGTTAATTATATAAATAAATTGTAAGTAAAAATAGCACCAAACACAATTAAAAATGGTATTACACCAAGTTCAGAATAGCATTCTTACTTATTACACTAGACTAGGTTCTTATTTGAACCATTTCATGCATATAGAAATCACATATACATATCTATTTTACAGCATACTGTTCTTTCACACGCAGGCTCCAACTATCAAACAAATCAACCCAAAAAGAAATAATCAACTCTTCAGCGAATTTGCGCCTATTTCATACTTTGCAGGTCCCAGCACTTGCTGTCGACTTAAGCCCCGTAAGCAGCTTCACTACATCCTGCATTGATGGCCTACTGTTCATGCAGAGTAGTGCGACTTCAACAACTAACTTGACGTCATCTTGAGACAAGACCGAGATAAAATTAGCATTCGCGCGAGCAACTTCAGCTATGAGATCCTCACTTTTGCTTTTCGTGGTGTCATAGGCATTTGCAAGCTTGCCGCCTGTTACAACCTCCAGAATGAGTTTCCCAAAATTGTACACGTCCATGTGGAGTTCGTCACTTAGGGATATCCCAAATCCATCACCTGTCCATATTATATTGATCAAAAAATTGAGAAGCATAGCTGAAGGTAAAATGAGATATCAACATTTTAATTTGATCCAAGAAAATAAAATTAATATAAAATAAAAGACACTGTATTTCTAAGAAATCAGGGAAAATTCTGGACTCATGCTTTAAAGAGCTACTTCTATTCCTTGTAATGTAAACACAGCTAGCTAATTTGGAAATTCTGATTTCATTACTCATTATAAACAAGTGCATCTTACTCTTTTCTACTTAGGATAAGATGATAAGACCCAAGTATTCAATAACCAACTGGAAATCTAACCGTCCGTAAAAAATGATAATAAAGTGTGATGCACAATATTTTGGAAGTTTCAACTATAAGCGTCAACTGTACGAAGGTTCAGAACAGGACGAAGAATTTACCTTTACCTGGCTCTTCTCTGATCTTTGCCGGCAGCCGATAATTACTCTTCCCAACAATTAAATTTAGTCCGTAATCAGCCAAATGAGGCTCCATATTTTCATCAAAAACAACATTGCCTGCCTTCAGATTCCCATGCGCAATAATAACTGGAAAACAGCCTTGATGAAGAAAACAAAGCCCCCTAGCAATCTTAATCAGCAACTCACACTTAGTCTCCCAATCTCTTTCCACCCCAATCTTTTCCTCCAAATTACCATTCGGCATATAATCGTAGAGCAAATACGCAAGACGATTATTGTAACACACCCCTAGAAGCCTTGTCAGGTTCTCGTGTCTCACATTTCCTATCCTCGTCATATTCCTCAACACAGCCTTCATCTCTTTGGGCTCCCACTCTACTTTCTTGGCCGAGACAGTAATTCCGGTGGGTAAAACCACTTTACTGATCGAGTCCGGCATTAGTTCCGGTAAAAGTGTCTCGGCATAATTAAAGCTTCTGAGAACATCCTTGGCCGTAAAATCAGGGAGCCCGTTGAAAGAAATCATTCTCCAGTGGCCTTTCCTTTCTCTGTTGAAGTACACAATCCCAAATATCGAGGCCACAATGAATAAAATAACGACAGCACACAGTATGAGAACCCAAGCCAATTTTCGCGCTTTTCTACTCTCGATTTCGAATCCGCTTGAAAGCCCGTTTTCATGGTGGCAAGGTCTAAGAGGCGGGCCACACAGCTTTGGGTTTCCTGAAAAAGCACTTTCTTCCATGGCCTTGAAAGCCTGACTTGAAGGGATTTGGCCCGAGATTTCGTTATATGAAAAGTTGACACGTTTTAGGCTGGTCGAGCTTCCTAGCTCGTTCGGAATATGACCACTCAAATTGTTATGAGATAAATCTAAGACGGTGATAACAGGAAGACTAGCAAGAGAAACAGGTATTTGACCTGTGAGATGGTTATCAGCTATGTTCAGTATCAAAAGCTGCTTACAGTTGGAGATACTTTCCGGAATATTTCCAGATAAGTTGTTCATTCGCAACTCCAAAACAGATAAAGACTCGCAGTCTTCAAATGGAGGTATATCAGCTGATAAGCCACAAGAAACCATGGAAAAGTTCTTAAGATTAGGCAGAGACCATATTTTAGCAGGCAAGATTCCTCCAAGCTCGAGATTATAAGACACGTTGAAATACTCGAGACTTGAAGCTCGATCAATGTCCGAAGGAATTTGACCTGATAACTTATTTCTTGACAGGTCCATGTACGAAATGTACGGAAAATTGGCAAAAGTTAGAGAGATGTTGCCCGAGAATGAGTTATCTTCCACACGAAGCCGAACCAGGGACGAACAATTTTGCAGGGATTGAGATAGCCCTCCAGTGAAATTATTCGAAAACAAAATCAACTTTTGCAACTCGCCTCCAGAACAAATATCAGGTGGAATTATACCAAAGAGATAGTTTGTTGAAACATCGAGGTGTTTGATTTTAGAAAATCGGCCCAAATCTTCGGGAAGTGGGCCTGTAAAGTAATTGTTCCATATGAGGAGAGTATCAAGGAATGGGAGCTTGGCAATACCTTGAGGAACATTTCCAGACATGTCATTGTACATTAAGCTCAGCAATCTAAGGTTTTTCAATTCAGAAAAGCTGTCTGGGATTGGACCTGAAAGAAGGTTGTCAGAAAGATCCAAGCTTTTGAGCGTCAAGATTTGGCTAAGTTTTTTTGGAATTTTCCCAGAGAGAAGATTCCTGAACAAGAAGAGAGATTCTAATTTGGTGAGGTTGCTGAGTTCTTCTGGAATTGGACCTGAAATGTTGGCATCAGCAATATCAAGATACTGAAGCTCACTCATATTACCAAATTGCCACGGGATTTCGCTTTCATACGAATTATAACCAATCTCCATATGCGTCAGCGTTTTCAAATTCCCAAGCTCAGAAGGTATTTTGCCACCGAGAAAATTACCAGCCAAATGAATGAACTCAATTGACCTAAAAGAACCATAATCAGACGGGATTGGTCCGCTGAAATAACTCCCAGCAAAATTGAGGATTTTCAGAGAAGCGATTTTTGAAACATCGGCAGGCAAGGGACCTGAGAAGCTGTTGCTGAAAGCATCAAGAACAACAAGGTTTTGGAGATTCGAAATCCCACCTGGAAAATGACCGGAAAAATTGTTCCTTCTTACATCTAACGTTTTCAGGCTTGTGAGGTTGAAAATAGCAGCCGGCAGTTGACCTGAGAAGGAGTTGTGGCTTAAATTGAGATTAAGAAGATCAGCAAAGAGAGGGAACTGATTTCCTGATAATGAGCCCCCAAGATTCTTCATTGACAGGTCCAAAGAGATTAGTTTTGAGGAATTGTCACTACATCTGACTCCAGCCCAAGAACATGCATGAATTTGGGTAGAGGGCTCAAACCCAGGAGGAGGAAGGACCCAATCTTTCAAGCTATCAGAGCTATCAACAATTTCTGATTTTAAGCTCAAAAGGGCATGAGAGAGAGGATCATGAGCAGACAATATTGGCTTCATTATCACAAGCACAGAAAAAAATATTTGTAAAATAAAGTAAATGGGGTGGAGAAGAATCTCCATTGGAACTTGCATCTCATGTGCAGAAGGAGAAATTTTGAGTGCAGAAGACCCCAGTGGAGAAGAAAGAAACTGTGTGTGTGTGGTTGCTTCTTTTTATTTTTTTAGCTTGTTTTTTTACATTTTTTCTGGGGTTATTGCATGGGGACTAGATAAAGGAGAATTGAAGAAAAGGGGGTGGAGGAATAGTATATTGATTTTACACTTTTTACTAGTTGGTATGGAATCCAATTGGATTGGGTAGTTTATTTATTTAGAAAAAATAAAAACCAAAGTGGACAAAAAGAAAAAACAAAATAAGAAAACTCTCTAAACAATGAGATAAGGGGTGTCATTATTTCCTGCTCCATTGTACTGAATCCCAAAGTACTTGAATACTTAAAAGCAATAAAAAATGAATTTATTAAAAAAAGCCCAAAACTAACTTAAATTTCAAGGGGTGATTTATTTAAAAAAAAATTGAAAAATAAGTGGACAAAAAACAAAAACCAAAAAAAGGAGTTGACCGAAATAAAAAGCACGTATTTACCAAATACGTTTTCTTAATTTTATTTTTTAGCGAAAAACGTATTCCATAAATACGTCTTTAAATAAAATTTGTTTACTTTTATAAAAAACATATTGCCGAAAATGTCTATCCAATTCTAATTTTAAACCGTATTTCCCAAATACGTTTTTCTGATAACCCCAAATTAATTTGAAACCCTAAAGCCTAAATAAATTAATTTTTGTTTTATAAAACGTATTTAATTAATACGGTTTGTAATATTAATTAATTTTTAAAAAAAAATTAAATTAAAATACAACGTATAACTTAAATACGTTTTTAAATATAATAAAAAATTAAAAACATATTTACAAAATACGTTTTTTAACAAAATATAAGTCCGAAAAAATCTTCTCCTCCACCACTCTGTGCGAACAAACACTACACTGCGGGAAGAAAAAAAAAATTGAGTTCTTCATCATTTTCTTTCACCTGAAAATTAAAAAAAAAAAACTTTTAACAATCAATCGATTCGGAGAAGAGGTCAGTTGTTATTTTAATGTAATGTAATTACATTTTTTTCGTTGTTTATGAATGTGTAAGAAATATTTGTTGGTTTTGATGAGTATAGTTTAGAAAAGATTTATTATTGATTTAATAGTTGTGTTAAATGATTATACATTGTTCTTGGATGATGGGTTTCGGTGTATGTTGAGAATTTTTCCGAAAATTGGATGAATTGTATTGTATGGTTGGATTATGAGAATTAGGGTTTTGGAGAGTTATTTTATAAAAGAATTGGTGATTTTTTTTTTGTTATTGTAGTATTAATTGGAAATATTTATCTTGATTTGAGTAAAAGAATAATTGATTTTTTTGAGAAATTATGTGTTGTTGTAATTGGGAAGAACTGAAAGTGTATTATATGTTATTGATGGATTATGAGTATTAGAGTTTGTGAGGATTATTTGATAAAAGATTTTGTGATTTTATTTTTAATGTTGTAGTATTAACTGAAATTTTAATTTTAGTAAAAAAATAATTGAATTTTATTTTTTGGTTGTGGGAATGATAAAAGAATAATTGAATTTTTTGGGTGTTGGGTTAGAAAGTATGTGTTGTTGTAATTGGGAATAATTGAAAGTGTTTTTTGCAACAGGTATAAATGGCGTCTACCGGACCATACTTTGTTAATGTGTATTGGAATCATCCCAAGGAGTTGTTATATTATTTTTCAGATTTAAAAACTCTCTAGATGATTCATTTAGCATTGGAGAGATGATATCATTTAAGCAATTGGTAGATATTCTTTATGAAAATTTTGGATTTCGTCGAGATGGTTGGATAATTGAGGAGATTAGTTTACTGACTAACCAACCCGATGGTTCGTGGAATATTGGAAACCTGAATACTGATAGTGCTCTTTAGTGGATATATTATTTCCCTCCTTTCTCCTATGTGTATTTGCATTTAGAGTTGAAGAAGGTTACGCAGGCACCTACAGAGTTTACGCAGTTTGAGGATGTTGCCCCTTTTTACGGGGGAGTGGCTGATGTTGAGGGTACGTCCACTTCGCATGCTCGTAATTTTGGCGAAGGGACAAGCTCAACAGTTAGAGAATTCGATAATGAGGAAGAAAGTGATCATGATTTCATTCATGGTGAAGACGATTTCACAGATGATACCTCGGAAACGGAATCGGATAGATCAATAAACGAGGAGTGAACCAGAATTTATTGAAGAACACCCATTTCCTAGTAGCGGTCAGCACGTGTATCGCGAGATGGGTGAGTGGGACCCGTCGTGTGTAGACCGGGATGAGCATGCTCTGCTATGTTGGAATGGAAATATTGAGACTATCTGTTTGGGTACTGTTTTCCGGTCCAAGGAAGGAGCACATATGGGTATCATGAGTTGGAACGTTATCATGAGTTGGAACGTTAGTAGGTTGAGGGAGGTTAAGACAACATATTCGAATAAGAAATCATTCAAGGTGGTGTGCAAATCTAACTAAGATCAACCTTGTCCGTGGAGGGCTCGGGTGATGCACTGCACACGGGTTCATGAACTGTGGGAACTAACGGAATGGACTGAGAGGCACAGTTGTATGCAAGAAGTCGAAAAAAATGACCACAGAAATGTAACCGCCACAATAATTTCAAATCTTGTCATGACCAAGATTCAAAAGAAACCCCACTACAGTGTTACCCTAATCCAGGAGGATGTTAAAAAATGTTGGAAAGTCGATGTGAGATATAAGAAGGCATGGCACGGGAGGAAAAAATCCATCGATCGTTTGTATGGCACTTGGGAATCGAACTTCGCACAACTCCCTCAGTAAGAAAAAATTTATTAAAAATGTACGTGTTATTTGTCACTATGTTTATGTATTGACGATTACGTTTTGTAACGTGCAGGTTTTTTGCGGCGCTTCAAAGAGCGAATCCCACTACAGTTGTACAGTGGGAATGGCAGGGTGGGGAAATGGCGGCCCACTATCAGCACAGAGAATTTAAATTTGTTTTCTGGGCGTTTGGTCTTGCCATTTAGACCTTCTAGAGATGCCCTCCGGTAATTAGCATAGACGGCACATATTTGCGTGGCTCGTACAAGGGGAAGTTGCTTGTGGCGGTTGCACAGACTACGAATAAGCGGCTATTGCCAATCGCCTATGAGATTGTGGATGAAGAGAGCCGGGAAAGCTGGTCATTTTTCCTGACAAATCTCCGGCAACATGTTGTCGGAGACAGACAGATATGCTTTCTTTCGGACAGGGATACGGGCTTACAGAGTGCCATGGAATCATTGGAAGCTTGGCAGGAACCCGCTGCATATCACCGGATTTGTCTTTGACACCTTCGGAGCAACGTGGTCACTAAGTTCAGGAATAAAAAAAATCCGAAATTGGTGTTGGGAGTTGGGTTCACAGGTTTCAGACAAAAAAATTCAACAGATACGAGTGCGGCTTTTGGATTTTAATCCGGAAGCATACGATGGGGTACATTGACAACCAATATGTCCGAGAGTTACAACAACGTTCTGAAAGGTGTTAGGTTCTTGCCTTGCCGCGCTTTGGTACACGCCACATTCATGAAAACTCTGGACTTGTTTGAGCAGGAATAAAAGAAGTCCACGAGATACAGTAATGTCATTGCTAGTGCCCACTATGCCGCTTATTGCAAATTGGAGACTACGGCCGCAACTCATAAGGTGCAATGTGCGAACGCGGAGAGATCCCTGTACAAGGTGACAACCGGTCTACGGGCTCATGGTAGAGGGGACAAAAGGTATATGGTTTATTTATTTATTTTATAATTTATATTTTTTTATTTTGGTTCATTAAAATTTTTAGTTGTATATAAATATAATTCAATGTGGAAAAACAGGTATAAGGTTTCGTACGATCGGATGTAGTTGTAGTTGTCTGAAGCGGCAGACACACAGGAAACCATGTTCTCATGCTATTGTTGTGTGTCGTCAAATAAAAGCTCCACCAAAGTTCTTATACGATCCCCACTTTTAGACGAAGAACTGGGTAGCTCAATTTTCTAATTGGAGTTTTGCTCCGATTGGTGATTTAGACACATGGTCGCTGGTCAGATGGAACTTACTACCACATCGGGAGCGGATCATCATGAAGGTTGGACCCGGTCGCGCGCAAACGAAGCGTCATCGCATGCAAATGGATCGTCGGGCACGCCGCCGGAATGATAGAGGACAGTGTAGTAGATATGGTAATTCAGAGCATTTTGTGGATGACTGTCCGTCCTCACATCCTCGCACTGATAGATCTAGACTCCGTGATGAGTGGGGAAACTAGATTTGTTAGTATTTATATTTTTTATGCTGGACTATTTTTTTTATTGTTTACTTTGATTTGTTGGACTATGTTTGGATGATATATTTTTGTTATGTTGGACTGTATATGAGTTGATTTGTTTGTGTATTTTTTGTGTAGTTGGTTGTTTTGAATATTTGTAATAGGTTTTAAAATGGTGAAACAATAGAAAGAAAAAGTCTTTTTTTTTCATATAACAGTTAAAAACTTATTTGAGAAATACGTTTTTAACAGTAAAAATTAAAAAACGTATTTGTGTAATACGTTTTCTATAAGAAAAAATAATAATAATAAAAACTCACAACTTATAGTATATAACATATAGTATATAACATATAACATATAACATATAGTATATAAGATATAACATATAGTATATAACATATAGTATATAATATATAACATATAGTATATAATAGGGAAAATTACACTTTGCCTAACAAACTATCCGCGTTTTTACACTTTGCCCACTCAACTTTTTCAGGTGACACTTTACCCCTTGAACTTCAAACATTCTTGCACTTAACGACTTCCGGCCACCGGAGATGCAAAATCAAGGGCAAAATCGTCATTTACACCTTAGGGACATCTCAAATTAGTCTTCACGAGTACACTTTGCCTACCGAACTATTCGTGTTTTTACACTCTGCCCTTGATTTTGCATCTCCGGTGGCCGGAAGTCGTTAAGTGCAAGAATATTTGAAGTTCAAGGGGTAAAGTGTCACCTGAAAAAGTTGAGTGGGCAAAGTGTAAAAACGCGGATAGTTTGTTAGGCAAAGTGTAATTTTCCCTATTATATACTATATGTTATATATTATATACTATATGTTATATACTATATGTTATATCTTATATACTATATGTTATATGTTATATGT